TTGGGGGGTGAACCAACAGAAGGAAGATCTTTCTCTCTGTCTCTCTCTCACTGTTTAACTCTGTCTAATAAAGAGAGAGAGAGAAAGAAAGATTAGTTTTTTTTTTTTTTTTGCTAAATGCATATTCACTTCTTTTTTATCTTTTTTTTAAGATTTATTTTATTTATTTGAAAGACAAGAGTTACAGAGAGAGGGAGAGGGAGAGGGGGAGAGAGAGAGACAGAGACAGAGAGAGAGAGAGGTCTTCCATCTGTTGGTTCACTCTCCAAATGGCCGGAGTTGAGCTGATCCCAAGCCAGGAGCTTCTTCAGGGTCTCCCACATGGATTCAGGGGCCCAAGAACTTGAGCCATCTTCTACCGCTTTCCCAGGCCATCAGCACAGAGCTGTACTGGCAGTAGAGCAGCCAGGACTCAAACTGGTGCCCATATGGGATGCTGGTGCCATAAGCAGATACTTAATCTACTACATCACAGAACCGGCCCAGTTCATTGTTTTCAAGACGACAACTTGGTATGTCCTCAAGAACTAAGAAAAGCCTTAAGAGCACCTTAAAGTTACAGGTATAGAAAATCAAATTGCCATATAGCCCAAATTAGTCCTAGTGTTAAATTTCCCTTACTGATTCCATTTTCACTTAAACTTTTATTCCTATGGTATCTGTAACTCAGATTCCCTATGTGAACTCTTCTAACAGTTCCCTGTGAAGGAAGCCAACTAAAATAATCACTAGACATTAATGGAACCTTAATGTAGCCTTTCTTCCTGTGTGTGAGCAAAAATGAAATCGGCAAAAGTATCCCTTCTTTGAAAATGACTGCATTTCTGCAACCTGTCCTATTTAAACTTTGATTTAAGGCAACCCTTTCAACCCCCTCCTTGAAAAAGGAGAGGGAAAACATTCTAGCATATAACCACTAGCAGGATTTGTTCTTAAAAAAAAAAAAAAAAAAAAAAAGAACACAGGCAGTGTTCCCTGACCTACACTTTGCGGAAATGCATACGAATCTGCATGAATCTAACGAAGATTCCCAAGTTCCAGGTACTCCACCCCTCAACCGTCAGTATGGAAGCACTACTTCATGCCCCCATCACACAGAAATATGAAACTTCAGATAACTGACATTTGCCTTCAGCTCTTCATACACGTTGCATCTTTACTGTCCAATTCACGGTAGTTCTTAGAGTGGCATGTAAGTTTTATGTAACAACAGCTCTGTACGTTTGTACCCTTATGTTCCAGGATGCGTCAAGCTGACGGCCCACAGGAAATCACTCTCAGAAATAACAGGACCTCAAACAGGCCTGTGCTGAAACCCCAGCCGAGGGGCTCCAGCCACGGCCCTGTGTTACAGTATGAACACACACACACGGAGCGCCATGCCTGCCTCTCCTACTACGCTGAGAGTTCTCAGGACAGGGAACACGTGTTGCTCTTACCTCCAACTACTGTAGTGCCGTGTTGGGCATGTGAGAGACACGTGATACATGTCTGCTGAGTAAAAACATTGAAGAACAAGGGAGAGAGATCTCGATGGTTCTTGAACTGGCAACTCCTTGGCTTAAAGACGGCTTCTCTTACAGACAGGGGAAATAAGCCCTGCGGCAAGTTCAGATAGTTATCGCACAGTGAAAACTGCAGAAATATCGACTACAGATCCCGACTTAACACACCGGATTTTAATTCATGGTCTCCTGGATATCCTGCTTCCACATGTCAAGGCCACTGCTATTGCTAGCCTGGTTCACGGTTTTGGCTGAGTCCGGGAGTAAAGACAATCTGGAAACACAAGAGGAAAAATGGAGATGCTCCAAGACACTGCCCCAGAATGAGACAAGACAGAGCCGGAACCAGATCGTCAAGGATGACTGGCAATGTTTTCTGAAACAAGAACCAGCACTAGTACACCCACGGTATTTTCTTTTACCTACAGGAACACAAATGCACTTGTATAACATGCATGTTCACTATCTGTAAGAAACAAGAAATGAACCAAAAACCCTTCGGGGAGCTGAAACAGTGGCTACCAAGGTCACGCACTAATCCCCAGAGAAGAGCTGGCAGAACCTAAGTCTAGTCAGTTAGCTGTTCCACACTCAATTCCAGAACAGGGTGATGAAGCTGAGCGTTTACAGAGGACAGCAGCCGACAGTAACAGCACGACGGCGTAGCCTTCCTACCACGGAGCGAGCGGAGAGACAGACTGCACATCAAAGGCAGGTTCAACAATTCCAAAAGCACGGGGCGAACAGCCTACATTTTCAATCACCTCAAAACCGCACTGGACCACTGGCAGTGAGGGATACCAATAACCACATCCTTTTATTGTTTAAAAGGAAACAAACTATATATATATATATATATATATATATATAAAATTCATTATAAAATTCTTTCCACAAAAAGGTATGGCTAAAATAGGAATTTTCACGTGTAACTCTGTATTTGCCAGCACCACTAGATGTATGAGACAGTGCCATACCCACAAAGCAGAGCTGACAGCACGGAGGGGTGGACTTCACTGCCTTCCCTGAACTTGGGGCTGTCCTCCTTACACATTTCGTCACTTCATATTCCTTGACCTCCTTCTGCAACGTACCTAAGTTAGCACCCTCGCCTCTAAGGGGGGTGTGACCTCAAACATGCACCAAAGCTTGAGGTCTCTCTTCTGCATCAGCCCCACTTTTCATCTCGTGCTGGGGTGACTGATGCGCCTCCAAGACTCAAGGCCAGACACAGCCCTTGCTGCTTTTGGTTTTGGTGAGAGAGACAAGATCGGGGGTGAGATCTCTGTGTCAGTCTCTTTGGGGCAGCCCTGGTAGTCCTGCTGACACCGGAAGTTGGCCAGAGGCTGGCTTCAACTGCACGCAGTCCTCTTCCGTACCTGAGGCCCATGCTAAAGAAGTCAGCAGTCCCTGGGGTTGCACGCGCAGCCAAGGCCGGAAGAGAGGGAGGCTTCTATTTAGGTGTAGACGGAGAAGCTGCTGGAGGACTTCGGAGGGATAACGCCTGTCTCCCACCCCTAGTGTCAGGGACGGGGACAGTCAGGGTCAGTACTCCTGGCACAGGTGTTACCAAGGACACCAAATTTTTCAGTTAATACAGAAACACTGCCTACCAGTCCAACTGTTCCGCTAGCATAGCCAGAGCAGACGGAGAAGCAAGGCCAGGACGCACCTGGCCCGGGCCTGTGGAGGCTGCTCCCAGGCCGCAGGTGGCTACACCACCATCCGATCCCAGAACTGGATCCCAAGGCAGCTCCAGCAAATAAACGATGCCCTTCACAGAACACTTCAACATGAATGGGAATATTTTTCTTGGCTTTTATTTTCTTGTGACAAAGAGGAACGAAACAGTTCACGGGTACATGTACTAGAATACTTTTGCTTTCCTCATACTGTTTTCCTTCCTTCATTCCGCCAGCAAATATTTCCTGCACGCCTACTATGCACTAGGCACTGTTAAGTGCAGAGAGAAAAGTACACCGATTACAACTACTGGGCCTCATTGTAACTGTACTCTCCACCTCCATCCGTGAAACCACCGGGCACCTGGGCTCAGGGACCTGACATCCGCTTTGCAAGATTATCTCCTTTCTTGTTTGCCTCTAGGACCACAGATGGCACAGAGCAGCCTCCTGTTTCTATTATAAGAGCGTAGCAATCACCAAGTGACCACGACTGTGGTTAGCTATTTTAAAAAGTTCGCAATTCAGGAGTCGCAGGATCCGGCTTCAGGGTTCACACCACTGAAATGATAGCCACACCATGTAAGTCAAACTTCAGTCTGCCCGGACAGTGAAGGAAACAAGGAAAATTTCCCTCATGAATTCAAAATTCAGAGCCGTGCCAAAGAGCTGGAATCTACGCATGGAAGTCAAAAGAATGGACTAAAAGGCAAGGACTTAGCAACTTCACATGGAGAATCCTATGATATAAAGTATTATGGAAAAGGAAATACATCAACAGGGGTGTGTTTGTCCCCAGGAAGAAAAGCAGGGCCCGTGTTCTCCCTCCTTTACCAAAACGCGGCTAGGGTTCTTGGCAGATCCGTGTGTGACATTTTCATCAGGCAACAGAGATGGAAAGCCGCCAGCCCCGCCGGATCCTGGTCATCTCTCACTATCACCCGTATCTACCACCGCACTTTATTGTGGTGAGACTGATTACTGGCCGTGCCCTTGGACTCTCCTTTGATAAGCAACTCCCAATGTGGAAGGGCCTCCTGTCCACACACTTCACTGGGCGGTTCCAGAAGCCAGACTTCCACATCTTCAGAAACTTAGAAAAGTTACTGACGAAATACAAAACATTAACTTTAAATCGATCTTAGGAGGGCTCTGAGTGCAGGCATATGATTTAGCACTTCAACATCTGCACCTCAGCTTCTCAGCCGTGTTAGGATATGGGCATTCTACATCACAGTACCCGGTTTGAGTCTCGGCTCCTCCCCTTCGGATCCAGTTTCCTGCTAAGGCACACCTCGGAGGGCAGCAGGTGACAGCTCAAGTGCTGGGGTCCCTGCCACCCACCTGGGAGACCCAGCACAGGATCCCAGCTCCCGACTGCCACCTGGCCCGTGGGGTCCCTGCCACCCACCTGGGAGACCCAGCACAGGATCCCAGCTCCCAACTGCTACCTGGCCCGTGGGGTCCCTGCCACCCACCTGGGAGACCCAGCACAGGATCCCAGCTCCCGACTGCCACCTGGCCCGTGGGGTCCCTGCCACCCACCTGGGAGACCCAGCACAGGATCCCAGCTCCCGACTGCCACCTGGCCCGTGGGGTCCCTGCCACCCACCTGGGAGACCCAGCACAGGATCCCAGCTCCCAACTGCCACCTGGCCCGTGGGGTCCCTGCCACCCACCTGGGAGACCCAGCACAGGATCCCAGCTCCCGACTGCCACCTGGCCCGTGGGGTCCCTGCCACCCACCTGGGAGACCCAGCACAGGATCCCAGCTCCCGACTGCCACCTGGCCCGTGGGGTCCCTGCCACCCACCTGGGAGACCCAGCACAGGATCCCAGCTCCCGACTGCCACCTGGCCCGGCGATGTTTCCAATACACGTGCACGCTGGGATCTGGAGCCCAACTTTGAAGAAATCACCCTGGGGTCAAACGGACCCATGGTTTTCAACCCAAGGATTTTAGGCCATGGTTAATAATCGGCGATCGTAACTTCGCCAGGTTCCAGATGTATAGAAAGTCCTACAGTGGAAAAGCTAACAAGGCGCCCCACGGTGAGCAATCAAACCTGCAGGAGCAGGCCGGCTGGGCGGGGGTGACACTGACACGGGGCCCCAGACCCAAGTCGCGGCATCAGGCGTCGCCTTTTCCAAAATCATCGACTCCCGGCCCACCCCAGTCACGGAGATCTGGACTACATCCCACAGCCATGCCCAGACCCTGGCGCCCCCTCGCCTGCTACCCGGGGAGCCCGGCCGCTGAGAGCGCGTCTCCTATCAGCCCGTGCGATCAAGGACGCGGCGTGACAGGCGCTCCCACTAGTCACTCGCGGCCACGCTCCTGCCCGCTCGCTCGCGATCGCGGGGCCGCACACCCGGAAATGGAAGCTCCAGGCGCGGCCCCACTCCGGACGACCCCAGCATTTCCTCAAGCGGCGCCCACCGCGGGCTCCCGCCTCGGGCCTGCAGGTCACTCGCGCCTCCCGGCCACGAGGCGGGCCCCGCGGGGGGACCCGCGAGCGCGCGCTCCTCCAGCCACCGCAGCCGGCGCCCGGCCGGACACAGGGGGCGGCTCCGAGGCCGGACGCCTCCGGGCACCGCGCTCCGGCGCCCCAGCGGCTCCCCCACAACGACCTCCGGCGGGCCGGGGAGGCGGCGTCCGCGTCAGCCGCAACCCCCGGCAGGCACGCGCCGCCCCGGCCGCCCCGTGAAGGGACCCGCCAGCGGCCACTCGCGGGAGACCGCTCAGGGCAGCGGCGCCCGGCCGGCCCCTCGGGGAGGCGCCCCGCCTGGGGCGCGCCACGCACCGCGCCCGCCCGCACTTTCCCGCCCGCCCGCCGCGCCGGGGGTCCCGCGCCCTCCGCCGCCCCCCCATGCCGCTCACCTGTCGGGCCCTAGGCTCGCTCCATGGCCGCCCGCACGGTGCGGTGCGGCGCGGCCCCGGCCGCCCCCGCCGCCTCCGGGGAGGGGCAGCCCCACGCCGCGCTCACCGCCCCCAGCCGCCGCCGCCGCCGCCGCCACTGCGGCTCCCGCCCACCCCCGGTCCGGCCATTCCCTGGCCACCTCTCCCCGCGCAGAGCCGGCCGTCCCACACCCACCCCCCCGCCTCCGCAGGCCGCGGCTGTTGGTACGGTCCTAGCGTAACGCCTTCCCCGGGACCAATCCAAAGGCTCGCTCGGCGCGGCCCCGCCCGGGCCCCGCCCCACTGTGGGCGGGCCCTACCGGACTCGCTCCAGACGGCCCCCTTAACCCCTTTGGTTCCGGCCGGCCCCGCTTAACTCTATCGGCGCCGGATCTTATTTCCACTCCTGCCTGCCTACTGCGCTGCTCCATCCCGTTGCCATAAACCGGCCTCTGGCTTCTTCTCCCTTGCCTTCGCTTGTTTCTTTGCTGCTTTTGTTGGACAGAGAAGCAGCCAGGCAGCAGGACTGGCGCGTTGCAATGCTCCAGGTCAAGGGCTAGTTGTGATATGGAAGGTCCTCCCTAAGTTATCCTGACTCCTGCTTGGAGAGAGTGGATCCCCGCCTTGCCCCAAACTGGCCAGCGTTCCTAGTACGGAGCCAAAGCGCTCCTGCTCCGGACCAGAGCGCAGCTCCCTGCCGCTACGTTCAGAGAATGGAAAGCTCAGATGCCCAGCACCCAGCAGGCTCCTGGTAACCGAGGAAAGCGCCTCCCTGCCCTTGGCTTGCTCACTTTTTACCCTGGCTAGAGTTTAACAAATGCACCGTGCATTCATTCTCCCTATACTAAGCTGGGACTTAGCTGCCCTGCCCCTGAAATGGACAGCAGGCTGCCCGAGGAGCTAAGACAAGCGATGGGGAAAGGTTGACACCTTAAGGACCCAGCTGACCGTCTCCAGGACACCTGGTCCATTTCAACAGCAAAGGGTGGCAGGCCACGTGGCCAGCCCAGTAAGGTCAGAGGTCATCGTGGGACTCCATACACTGGTGAGGGTTAAATTCGGAAAGGTATGGGAAAGCCCTCCCAGATGGGAGGCTGGGTGTCAGCGGTTGCTATCCGAGTGTGTATTCAGTGAGCGCTTACTTTCAGGAGATCCTGGAGGAATTCTTGGGCTAGACACCCACCCAGAGCAGCCTGGCTAGGAGGCAGAGCTAATCCCCGCAGGAAGCATTAGTCACCGAATGCAGGAGGCCTCTGCCAGACTTGCACTGATGTCGTTGAGCCGGTTTGAGGGTCGCTGTGAGAGTACAGGATCTGGGATTCCTGGGGAAGCGAGCCGGACTGGGATGGTGTGAGAATCTGCACACAGGGGCGGTGGTGGGGTGCGGTCGGCTAATCTCCCTGAGGCTTCTTCTCTGCGGCAATGGACCGCAAAGCACCCATGGGCGCCCCCTCTAAGGGGCTTTCTTCCAAAGGACTCCTTTCTACCCTGGAACCCGACCGTGAGGGTGGACGCTCCATGTGTCATTGCTAGGGAAAAGGCCGGCTCGTTCTGCAGCCTCGGCTTCCGGAACAGAGGATCCCCCTGTGTTGAAGGGCTTTGGGGCCGGCGCTGTGGTGTAGTGGGCTAAGTCTCCATCTGCGGTGCCAGCATTCCATATGGACCCTGGTTCGAGTCCTGGCTGTTCCACTTCCCATCCAGCTCTCTGCTATGGCCTGGGAAAGCAGTGGAAGATGGCCTGGGTCCTTGGGCCCCTGCATCCACGTGGGAGACCTGGAAGAAGCGCCTGGCTCCTGGCTTTGGATAGGCTTAGCTCCAGCCATTACTGCCATTTGGGGAGTGAACCAGCAGATGCAAAACATTTTCTATTTCACAAGTAAATAAAAAAATTCTTAAAAAAAAAAAAAAAAGACTTTCACAGAAGGGAGTGGGCAAACCAACCCTGTGTTAAATTTCACATTCATGGGACACACACTTCTTCTTCCCCTGCCTTCAAAAAAGGCAAGGCCGTGGGGCTCAGGGTGAGGCTTTCAGACAGCCCCAAATCATCCTGCCCCAGTTTCCCTTTGCCAAGATCCATCGCCCAGCCACAGCACCACCTGACCAATCAACAGCCCACCCAGTCTCGGTGTCGTGAGAGCTGCAATCATTCAAGACAGGAATGTACATGACTGTCACAAAGGAAGCAGCTGTGAGGAACACACAGACTCTGTCACCGCGGAAAGAATCGGGGTCCAGGAAGCCAGTGTGGGCTGGGACCAGGAAGGGAGGGTTGAGGTGAGCCAGATACGGGAGGGAGCAGACAGGAACCGCAGGCTTACCGCGCTTTGTGAGCGGGAGGCCTGGGACTGCTCAGTCACCTGACAACGTCTCCCAGCCAGGCAGACACCTAGAACACCTGGTCCCCAACCTGCGCGAGGGCCCTGTCAGGCCAATCTGAGTGCCTTGCCAAGATACCTGGGACACTCCTTGCTCCCCTCTCATCCTGCCTGGGGTTTCCAGGTGCCTCACCTCCCCTCCCTCCCCAAACCGAAAGACTCTTAAAGACATAGGACATGACTGTGTCCCTCCTGTGGAGTGCCCCTTGCTAAATACCTTCTCTGCACCCATGGGTGGCAGCGAGAGCAGGCTGCAGCCCCCTCCAGCCAAGGAGGTAGATGTCAGCTGGTTATTAGCTTGGGGTGGGGACAGCAGGGGGACACTCCCACGGGATCCAACAGCCTGGCCTCCAGGCCCATGCTCTGCTGGTTCCTTATCTCCTGCCTCCTCCAGGTCACTTGCTCTCCTCCTCCTGCCCCAGAGGTGTGATCCTCCGGACGCCCACCTGTAAAAATGCCAGATGTGCGTCTCTATCAATGCCACCTGTTCAACAGCCTTTCCAGTCAGTGGTTCTGAGGCCCGCGCTCTGTGCCTGCCTCTCCAGTGGCAGGGTCTGTCTGGAACTTTTGTGGGGGGGGGCGGTGTCTGACCCTGTTCCCCTGGACCTTAAAGGCTTTGACAACAGTGTGGCCTCGCCCTCTGGGTCTTGTGTGGCCTCCTGCTCTGCAGGGCCCTCGGCAGGCAAGCGACCCTGGAAAGAGAAGTGGGAGGAGAACGGGGTTTTGTGCGGGCTGGGAGGCGGCACCAGAGGCTCATAGCTTGGCCCCATATCACTGTCAGCACTTTCCCTAAGCTGGTTCGGAATCCCCAACTCTGGGCTGAAGCCCCAGGACCCCAGTGGCAGCCGTGCAATCCCAAGGGCAGTGCTGTCTCCCAGTGCCTGCATCCAGGCAGGCCACACACACACACAAGCTCTTAACCCAGTGACGGGGCCTCCTGAAGCTAGGTGAATTTGACGTCCAGCCAGGTGGGCGCAGCCCAAGGGAAGGTGCTGTAGCCAGGACAGGGACAGAGAAGGACAGTGAGTGAAGGGGCACACCCGTACCTGCATCCGGGCCTGGGGCCTGTACCTGTGGTGGCTGCCTCCCAGGCAGGTGTGTGCTCCGGGCACAGCTAAGTCTGTGTTTCTTTCCCAAAAGGGGACACATTCCTTCCTTTCATTTGGCCACAGCTCTGCAGCTCTCCCCTGCTTACAGCACAGAGTTCTCTCTTAACCCTGCGTATGGCACCTCTGTCCACGCCGTGCGAGCCAGCCACGCTTGTCCCAGGGACAGCACGACAAAACACAGACACAGCACACAGCTCCCAGCCAGGACATGCCGGCTCTGTGTTCCGAAAGTGGTAGAAAACTTCCCCAAGTTTTTTCCACTAAAGCAATTTTTTGCATTAAAAACATTTATTTATTTGAAAGAGTTATATAGAGAAAGGGACACCCATACACACACACACACACACACACACAGAGATCTCCCATCTGCTGGTTCACTCCCCAAATGGCTGCAATGACAGGGACTGGGCCAGGGCAAAGCTGGAAGCTCCAGGTCGGCCACGTGGGTGCAGGGACCCAAGCACTTGGGCCATTTTCCATTGCCTTCCCGGGCACATCAGCAAGGAGCTGGATCAGAAGCGGAGCAGCCAGGACTCTCACAGGTGCTTACGTGGGATGCCAGTGTCTCAGGCCCTGGCTTAACCCGCTGCACCACAAAACCAGCCCCTCTAGTAATATTTTTTTAAAGAGCAGCTTTTGTTGGGATATAACTTGCATACCAGGAAACTCATTTGCTTATAATGTACAATTTGGGGCTAGCACAATGGCTAGCAGGTAGAGCCACCATCTGTGACGCCAGCATCCCATAAGGGCACTGGTTCAAGTCCTGGCTGCTCCACTTCTGAACCAGCTCCCTGCTAATGGCTGGAAAAAGCAGAAGATGGTCCAAAAGTCATCCCACATGGGAGACCTGTATGAAGCTCCTGGCTTCCGGCTTCAGGCTGGCCGAGCCCTGACCACTGGTGGCTAAATGGGAAGTGAATCAGTGGACAGGAGATCTCTCTTTCTACCTCTCCCTCTTTCTGCAGCTCTG